AAAATCCATGAATAATCCCAGCACAGGGCCACAAGCCTGTACTACCAGGAACTCAGGAGGCTGAGGCAGGATGATCTTAAATTCAAACCCAGCCTGGGCAATTTAGAGACCCAGTCTCAAAAATAAAATAGGCCAGGCACAAAGGTGAAAGCCCATCAGCTCAGTGACTTGGGATGCTGAGGTAGGAAGAGCAGGATCGAAAGTTCAGGGCCAGCCTCAGGAATTTAGCAAGAGCCTCAGCAACTTCATGAGAATCTGTCTCAAAATATTAAAAGCGCTGGGGATATAGCTCAGTGGTAAAGTACCACTGGGCTCAATTCCCAGTTCTGGGAAGTAGGGGGCAGATGGAAATACAGAGGGCAAAGAATCACCGAAGCACTTCTGAGAATGAACAAGGCAAGGAGAACACCTCTACTCCATACCAAGACTTGTACCAGAGCCAGGGGACAGCAGGGATGGAGCCAGGATCCTTAAACACACAAAGGACTGAGGGCACAGGCACCCCACGCAGACCGCACCTGACTCACCACAAGGAGCAGGGCCAGGCAGTGGCCGCAGTTCAGTCTTGCTTTGTTTTCCTTTCAAAATTTGACATATTATTTTGAGAGCAATTATGTAACAGCATGGATACAACAGGAAATGTACGTGGAAAGAAAAAATACACTTTTCTTCCACTTTTTTTTTCTTCCCCACTTCCCACGCTGAACAAAAAGTCCGTCCAGGCAAGGGATGGTCTAAAAGCAAAAGGAAACACCAAAGCACTGAGAAGGTGACATAAGGACATCTTAATTACCACAGGGTATGGGAGGATTTCTGAAAGAGACAACACAAACCAAGGGAAAGTAGGAGGAAGAAATGTTTCAAAGTTAAGAAGTTTTCCTCATCAAAATGCACCACGGAAAGAATAAAAAGGCAAGCCAGGGGAATAGATATTTTTAATACATAGAACTAAAAAGTTCATATTCAAGAAATATAAATAACTCCTACAAGCCTCTAGGAAAAACAGAAAAAAATCAGCAAGGACATTTTACCAGGCATATCCAAATGGTCAGCACGCATCATTAGCACCAGAGAAATCCCCACTAACACCATGATGAGAAACCACCCGCATGTGTGAGAATTCCTAAAATTAGAAAGACAGCTGATTCTAAGTATAAATAAGCACAAAGACCAGTAGGATCTCTTGTACACTGCTAACTAGAGGGAAAATTGGTACAATTAGTTTGGAAAGCCACCGCACATCTATTAAACTTGAGTATCTACATATTCTGAGACCTGGAAATCCCATATCTATACACAGAGCCAACAAATTTGTACACACGAACACCTACTGCAAACACTCTTTCTCCCAATGTCCATCAATAGTAGAATAGAGAAATTGCAGGACAGTCATACAATGGAGTACTATGCAGCAATGAAAATAAATGAAAGTACGGTCCCATGAAACTTAAGGACACAAAGAAGGCTAATGAAGGATTGTACAGATGCTGTTTCTTGAGCTGGTTGATGGTTATATGGAAGTTTGTATTATAAAAATCCACCAAGCTCTAATGTTTTTGCTTTGTACACTCTGAATGTATTAAGTTTTACAAATAAAAAGTTTTTAAAAGCCTAAATAAAATCCTTCAAAACATTTACATACTGTTTTTGCCATTTTTAGTACTAAGGTTTGACACTATAAAGTCATGAGGTCAGTAGTCCTAAAGTCCACAGGACCTTTAATTAATTATACATGTGCTAGTCTTTCCAACACTAACAAGACACACGCAAACACGACACCGGAGGAATGCACATGAAGAGCCACGTAAATACTCGGCCACTCTGTCCCCTAACATGTTATTCTTATAGCAGCCACTAGCTAAATGGTGTTTCTTCACAATGATTAGTATATCAGAAAAAAATCCAACCAAAGACAGCTTATCCACTGTAGCATCTTGTGACACCATCATAATAACCTGAAACAATCATATTTCAAATGTTAGATGGGGTCGGTCCCCCTTTGGTGTTATCTTCTGTTAAAAAGAACTTAATACAGTTCCTTTTGCCCTCTGCTGGTGGGAATGTTTCTATTTGTGTACATTTCCATTTAGATAAAAATGCTATCGACTGATGGCTCAGAGTCACAAATAACCTGAGATTCTTTTAGGAAGCAAATAATAAAAAGCAAATTACAAGGTACCCTGCCTAACACACTGGCCGTGGTCAACCTTCCTCGGAAGGATGAAAACTGACAGTAAAAGATACCATATTTTGACAATTTACTACTTCAGAAAAATAGTTCTGTAACCACAATACATTTAAACCCCCTACAAATCAATAAGTAGCACATCCATTTTTAAAATGAATAAAAGATACAAAAATAGTAATTGACAGAAAAAAATCACCATGGCTAAAATAAAGACATGGAAAACACAAAACATTAAGAACCATCAAAAAATGCTGAGGGCCGGGTGAAGCTCAGGGCTGGAGCACCTGCCTAGCAAGCACGCGGCTTGAGTTCAACCCCAGCACCCAGAAAACAGTAGAAAGATAAAGTTGATTAAAACCCAATAATATTTTCCCACAGCTTGGCAAAAATTAAAAAGATCAAGAATACCCAGTGCTGATATGGTGTAGGAAAATAAGAGTATTATGTATCTATGGTAGGAGTGCAAGATGGGACATATCTGCAAAATTATAAACACACACACACTCTAACACCCAGCAGACTCCTTTTTTGATTGGTGAATTACAGTTTTACCTAATAATGGACTTCGTTGTGATATCCTCACAGATGCACACTCAAAATTTGGCTCGTTTCATCCTTTGTACCCCCACTTCCTCTCCCCTCCTCCCTCGGGTCTCCTGGTCTATTTTCCTAAGGTCCCTTTTCTTTCCTTCTTCTCTGGGGCTTCCACATGAGAGAAAAACCTATGGCCCTGCATTTTCTGGTTCTGACTAATCCACTTGACAGAATGTTCTCGAGTTCTATCCTTTTCCCTGCAAATGACATGATTTCATTTTTCATATGGCTAAATAAACTGCTGTTGTACATATACACCACATTATCCAGTCATCTGCTGTTGGACACCTAAGCAGATTCCATGACTTGGCGATTCTGAATTGTACTGCTATAAACATGGGAATGCAAGGATCGCTGTAGTGTGCTAATTCCTTTGGATAAATACCCAGGAGTGGTAGAGCTGGGTCATGTGGTGGTGCTACATCCAGTCTTTTGAGAATCCTCCTTGCTGACCTCCATAATGGCTACCGTAATTTACAGCCCCACCAATAGCATAGAAGTGTTTCTTTTTCCTGCATCTTTGCCAGCATTTATTATTATTTGTATTTTGTGGGAAGTTTACTGGGAATTGAATTCAGCGGTACTTTACCACTTAGGTACATATCCAGTCCTTTTTATTTTTTATTTTGAGACAGGGTCTTTGTTTCTGAGGGTCTCACTAAATCGCTGAGGCTGGCCTTGAACTTGTGATCCTCCTGCTTCAGCCTCCAGTTAACAGGAGTGTGCCTATGAGCTCGGCATATCTGTATTCAATGACTGACAATCTGACTAGAAGGAGATGAAATCTCAGTGTAATCAGATTTGCATCTTCCTGATTGCAAAAGGTGTTGAACATTTTTTCATGTATTTGTTGGCCATTTGAATTTCAGAATCTCTTTTTTGGGTGCAGGGTACTGGAGATTGAACTCAGGGGCCCTTGACCACTGAGCCACATCTCCAGTCCTATTTATATACCTTATTTAGAGAAAGAGTCTCACTGAGTTGTTTAGCACCTCGCTTTTGCTGAGGCTGGCTTTGAATTCAAGGATCCTTCTGCCTCAGCCTCCTGAGCCACTGCGCCCAGCAGAAATCTCATTTTTAAGATGTATTCTATGAGCTGGGCATCATAGCACATGCCTATAATCCCAGTTACTCAGGAGGCTGAAGCAAGAGGATCTCAAGTTTGAGGCCAGCCTAGGCAACTTAAGGACACCCAGTCTCAAAATAAAATTTAAAAAACAAAGGAGTGGGGAAGTAGCCGAATGTTTGCCTAGCAAGTGCAAAGTGCTGAGCTCAATCATCAGTACTACCAAAAAATACATATTTTTATTTCATATATATTTCATAACCTATGAACATATTAGTTCAAGTACATAAAGATACATTTAGATACATTCACCAGGATATTTACTGGAACAGCAGCATGGAAGAAGAATAAATAAATTTTGGTATATACATATAATGGAACATCAAGCACTTATTTTTAATGCCATTTTTATTTTTATTTGTTTTTGAATTACTGGGGATTGGACCAGGGCTTCACACATGCTAGGCCGGTGCTCTACCACTGAGCTTAGTCCCCAGCCAAAGCACTCATTTTAAATGCAGAAATCTTTGAGAACCAATGTGTGTACAATATGTATTACTAAATAATGAAAATGAGTTGCAGAAAAGTATATGTAGCATTTCATCTTTATTTCTGAAAAGAACTCAGATATGTATAAATACACCACAGAAAAAAGCCTCAACAGTGGTAATCTCTGGAAGGAGGGAGTGTGGGTTTGGAGATGAGTAGTAAATGTGATTCCATCTTTTACCTAATAGTCTTTAATGTTTGGATTTGTTTTAATGAGCACATATTAACTTTTACTGACTATATTAACAAGTATTTAATAAAACATTTATTGAGTTTTTCCTTTCTCCCTTTTTATACTGGGGATCAAATCCAGGGCTTCACACATGCTATCACAGAGATATATCCCAGCCCTGGGTTTTCCATGAACTAACTTGTTTTGAATTACTTTATGGCTAGAATGACTATTCTTATCTAGGGATGAAGCTCAGTGGTGGAGCGTCTCCCTAGCATGCACGAGGCCCTGAGTTCAAATTCCAGCACTTCAGAAAGTGAGAAAGAAAAGTAGGTTGGCTGGCTGTTTTGAAATTCTTAACCTATACGAACAGAGCATTTCAATGAGGATGGAATGACCAGAAAGAGAGCAGGGTTAACCTGAGCACTCACCTGGACTATATCCAAAACCATGCCGGCTGAAACCGTGCCAAATCCAGCCAGCAGAAATGGCACCAGGATCTGCAGGGCCATGATGCCGCTGGATTCCTTGGGCAACTTTTGGCTTGTTTCCACAATGACGTCCTCGTCGCCCTCACTGGACACGTCTTCGCCCTGCAGCATGGCAGTCGTTTCCGAGGCCTCCCTGCCGTCACAGTAATTGTAGTTGGCGTAGTCGTCGTACTTGGGACTGCAGTTTGAGGGTGCGTGCCCGCTGCTCCCGTGGAAAGGCTGCTCGGAGAAACCGTGGTACTCCACGTGCTGCTCGGACCTGCTACTGAACGCCTGGCCTGCCCCTGACAACCCATCTTGCCAAAGGCCGTTGGTCTTTTTGTGCCTGTCTTCCTGGCTTTTCTGGTAAATTACTGGAACCATGCTCAACAGTAAGTTTAAAAACTTGTCAGACTGAATTGTATTTAAATTTAAAGTCCAATCGACAAAACCTTCTCCACTACTGAAACCACCACTTGTTTTACTGCTAATAGATCTTCCTTTACTATTAGTCATATTGTCATCACAAAAGTCCCTGTATTCCTTAGACCTCAGGCTCCGTGACCATAGCAGATGAACCAGAGCCACCCAGACACCTGCCAAGGTTAAGCTGTTGATTCCATCCTTCGGCAGCGCTTCCTCTAGGAATCAAGGATGCTCAGAAGCTCCACCTCGGAACTGGATCTGCCAGGAAAAAAGAAATCAAAGTTTAAAAATCAGATGAACTATCCTGCTATCTAGATTTGCAGAGTTAAAGTATAAAACGCATCTTAAGCAGCCTAAGGTGCTCACACTAGATTCTGTGGGCTAGAAACAACTGTTCTGTGCCACATAATTGCTTTGAAAGAAACTACAGAGTTATTTTTTGTGCTCGATCTTTTTAAAAGCATTTCTTATTTTTGCACACTTTATGTAACTAATTCCCATGTAAGGTCTTTAGCGGCCTCTGAAGTTCCACAGTGGATGAATCTATGAAATAATAATTACTATAGAGGACTCAATCTAATGACACCAACTTTTACATACACAAGATAAAGTAGATAGCATTCACTACACTTTAAACATTAAATAATAAGCCATATTACTTTATTTACAACTTAATCAACTTTTGTTATTAAAATAAGAAATGATGATGATGTCTACAGTAACAACGCCTGGTAGATATCCTGATATAAAATTAGGTTACAGTCATAGTCATAGTTCTGACATACAAAAAAAATTCCCTATAACTGACTTAAAGAATATAATCCTTCTATTATTTAGAAAATAACCAAACTGATTAAAGGGATTACAGAGATTCATTCAATTGCAATTTGCAAGCCAACCAAAGCAAAGCCTGGAACGCACTTCCGGACTTCTCAAAGTCTGCCTGGCCCTTCCTCCCACAGTAGGCCCCTCTAAAGAGACACACACTGAAGTTAGTCAGAGTGTGATGGGCACCGAAGCTGCAGGGCCACACGCCACCTGCTCAGGTGGAGAGCCTAACTGTTTGCACAAATGCTGCCTCAGCTGGAGGGGCTTTCAAAGCTATCGACTGACAGGTCTAAGGCCTCGGCTGTATGTCACCAACACCCAAGTGGGTCTGTACTCCCAAGATCAAGACACTGGCACTGATATGATAAAGGACAGGTGGCCCCACCAGCTATGGGACTGCCTATCTACCAAGCTAGACCAAGAAGAGCTGCCACCAGTACTGCTGGTTTTAAGGAAAACCACTGCATTATTCAGTACATTTGTTTTCCGTGCCTTGGAGCATCCACCTCCTCTCCTCGGAGAGAAAGAGAAACAGGAAGCTGTGGAAAAGGGAGAAAGAGGTGGGGCTGTGTAGGCCAAGGGCCTGACTCACCCATTTCGTCCTTCATTCACCCTCCTCTCCTCCCTCTGATTATGGGAAGTATGGGAATGCCTACCAGGGAATTCTCAGAATATACATTCCAGGACCCCAAACCTATTAAGAATATCTATGTTTGAGGCCCACAATTATTTTTTTAACTTCCACAGCACAGACTTCTAAGGACCTGCGCTGAGAAGGTAATGAGTAGATGAAATGCTGCAGGGGACCCTCCACACCTGCGGATTCCACATCCAGGAGTTCAACCAATCACAGGTGGACAATATGCTTAAATGCACTGTATTTTTTTTAAAGAGAATTTTAATATTTATTTTTTAGTTTTCGGCAGACACAACATCTTTGTTTGAATGTGGTGCTGAGGATCGAACCCGGGCCGCACGCATGCCAGGCGAGCGTGCTACCGCCTGAGCCACATCCCCAGCCCCGAAAATGCATTGTATTGAGAACACACAACTGTTTCTTCTTGTCATCCCTAAACAAGATAGTAGAAAACTTTTACAGAGCATTTACACTGTGCTAGGTACTCTAAATAACCTAGAGGTGACTTAAAGTTTAGGCTAGAATGTGCATTGGTTATATCCAAATACCATTTCATATGAGGACCTGAATATCCACAGAATTGGGTATCTGTGGGGAGTCCTGGAACCAGTTCCCCACAGGTGTCAAAGAGTGACAGTAGTTGCCAGTTTTGTCCCTTGCAGGATGATCAGTATATAGGGAAAATATGTTTAAAGAACATCCCATGAAGGGAACCCATGCAGAGTGGAGATGAAACTGAGTACTAGAAAAAGACCTGAAGAGCTGCCGGGAGCTTCTGGAATGGAAACTACCCATCTAGAATGTCAGAGATCTGCAGCTTTACAGGAGTGAGACTGAGTGGTTTTTATTTCTTCAACTCATTTGCCTTTTTTAAAATAGCATTTCACTTCCTCAAAGAAGTCTTTAATCAAATAAAATGCAAAACAAACCCAAGATCTATTCCACCAAAGGACCAGGGATGGGCAAGTTCTTCCTCTTGAAGCAGAATTACCAGGTGGATGAAAGTGGAAATGGCGGAGAAAAGCAGGTAAACGAGAAGGATGGAGGGCAGCTTCCTCTCCTGATTCAGCCAACTTGAAGTTCAGAAAGCTCTAAATGTGCTCAGGACACTCGCCCAACAAGCAGCGCCAAGTAGAAAAATGGGGAAGAAAGGGGAAAGGGGGGTTTCCCAAGACGCGTCATCTCTCAGAATCTCTCAGGATGTGGCTAAGGGAGTGCCGCGGAGTTGGTCGATGGGATCCAGATGTGCAGCACATCTGCTCACGCCCCTACTCCTAGCAGTCCTACTGCAGCACAAGCCGTTCAGAGGGTCGGATGGAGAGGTGGGCTCTGCGGCCACTGTGCACACAGACCACAGAAATTTGGGTGAATGATAAAAGAGTGCTTCTCAGAAAAAGGACACTCTGAGCAGGGCCTTGGGCCAGACTTCAGACCCTGTCCATCCCTTCAGCCAAGTACCCTCGCATAGTGAAGAAGCTGGTCAACGCTGTGCATGAGGGCGAGCAGTTGGGTGAAACGCTAAGCCATGTTTCAAGAACACGAAACACACAGCGGACAGATGATTTATTAGTATTTGCTCAATATCTTTCCCCAATATTTTAGCTAATGGTATCTAATTCCTGTGGGAAACTGGCCTTTCCTGCTCCGGGAGATTCTGGTAGATCTTTTGATCACAATGGAAACCTTCCAGACACAGTGATGACAAGCGGCTCACCAAGGACCCAAGGCACAGGCAGTGACTTCTTAACAAGACTCCTGAAGCCCAAGAAATAAAACCAAGAGTCAGTAAGCAGGATGACATGGAATTAAAAGGCAAAGAACGGCAAAGAAAACAAGAACATGAAGAGAGAGCCTATGGAACGGGAGATCTTTATCACTGCTCCTCAGACAAGGGATTAATATCCAGAATATATAAAGAAATCAAGGAACTAACACCAAACGTGGGAGGCCATCCTTGCACGTGATTCGAGTCACCTCCCCGGCCGGGCAAGAGGCGCTGAGACACATCTTTGTGTCCAGAGCTTTCCCCACCCTTCGGGTCCGAGGGCTTGTCTGTGTGGAGGCGTGCCTGACCACAGCCCCTGAAGACCCAATCGTCTCACCTGACCTTGGGACACTGCCCCCTTAATCTTCATTGGATGGGATTTTCTCCAGAATTTTTTATTCCCCAATAAAAGTCCACTCCCTGGCGTGTTCTCTCTCTCTCTCTCTCACTGGCCTCTTCAGTAAATCTAGCTACCCTAATAGGTAGCTGGAAGCTGGAGGTAGGAGAAGCCGTCCTGGAGCTGGTTTAAAGGTAATTAGAGTCTCTCTCTGTAATTCAAACTCCCTGTGGATTTCTCATGCAGCCGAACCTTCACCTATGAAGCCTGTGCTGGCCGCAGGCTAAAACCAAAAACAAAAAAAAACCCGTCCTATTAATAAATGGACAAAAGAACTAAACACTTCTCAAAAGAAGTAATGCAAATGGCCGACATATATATGAAAAAGATTCAACACCTCTAACAATTGGGGAAACACAAGTCAAAACCACACTGAGCTTTCATCTTGCTCCAATCAGAATGGCAATCATCAAGAATACGATAATAATCAAGGCTGGCAAGGATGTGGGGAAACCCGACTCAGACCTCGTCAGTGGGGCTGAAAGTTAGTACAACCACTCCAGAAAGCAGTGTGGAGCAAAAAGAAAGAAAACTGTGAAGGGAACCCCCACTTAACCCAGTTCTCCCCTCCTCGGCACATACCCAAAGGACTTCAAATGAGCACACTACAGCCATCTAGCCCCATCAGTGTTTATAGCAGTGCAATCCACAATGACCAAGTTGGGGAACCAGAGAACAGACAGATGGATAATGAAAATGTGGCCTCTCTGCACAGAGGAGTTTTACTCAAAGAAGAATGAAATGACGGCATTTGCTGGCAAACAGATGAAACTGGAGAACAACATCATGCTAAGGGAAATAAGCCAGACTCAAAGTCAAGATCAAACGTTTCCTCCCAGATGCTGAAGCTAGACCAAAATAAGGGCAGAAAAACCCAGAGAATCCCATGAAAATAGAAGAAAGATCAATGGAGTAGAGGAAGTGACTGGTGGGGTGCCGCAGTCTGGCTGGGCACAAATCACAAGCCACTGAAGCAGGAACAAACTTTATTTCTGAACTCCACCAGCACACTCCACACACACTCCCGGGAACTCTCCCGAACGCCACCACGCGGCTCCTCCAGGAACCACCAACCGGAAATCCCTCCTTCGGCACTTCCCCAACCAATGGGAACTCTCCGGGAATCCCTGCGAGAACTCCAAAGTAGCAGGCCGAGGCGGACAGCAGGGGTCTAATATACACAGCTTAACATAACCATTATCATCTCAATGGCTTGCTGGCGTCACCTCTCAACCACTCTGTTCTGGCAAAAATGCCATGCTCATTCGGACTGGCTATGGCTCTCAGCAGTGGGGAGGGAAGAGGGACAGAAAAGGGAGGAACAGTGGAAGAGACTGACTAAACCTACTCATGGGCTGGATGAACACACCACAGGGCATTTCACCCTGATGTGTATTTACAATGCTCTCATTTAAAAACTAGAAAGAGAGACAGACAGACAGACTGGTAGAATACAGGAAAGGAAACAGGGAGGAAGGAGGGGGCAAAGGGAAGCACTGGGACTGAAATGGAACAAGTTATACTCCATGCCTGTATAACTATGTCAAAGTGAACCCCACATGATATATAATATAATGCACTAATATACAATTTAAAAAAAAAAAAAAAAGAGGACTTGAACCTTCCCTGGA